ACCTCCTCCTCCTCCTCCATCACCTCCTCCTCCATCACCTCCTCCATCACCTCCTCCTCCTCCATCACCACCTCCATCACCTCCTCCTCCTCCATCACCTCCTCCATCACCTCCACCACCTCCTCCTCCATCACCTCCTCCATCACCTCCTCCTCCTCCATCACCTCCTCCATCATCTCCTCCTCCTCAACAGGACGTGTTGAGTGTTAGCATGCCCCCACCCCAGCTACACACTTGCCTCATGATCTCATTGGACATGCCAACAACTCTGGGAGCAAGGTGCTTTTAGGGTCCCAACCTGCCATGAAAAGAGCCTGAAGCTCAGAGCAGGCGACTGCCTAATGCAGGCAGAGCCTCATGAGCGTGTATGCACATATACGTGCCTAGGAGTGCACCTGGGTGCGTATGTGTGTGCAAGGAGGGAGTCCTCACCCAGGGCTGGGAACAGGCCCTCTGGGTCCCCGTGTCCACAGGAGGCTTCCGTCTATGCTGATGGGCACCTGGGCCACACGGTCCAGAGCTACAGGGCAGGGACTGGTTGCTGCGGGGGGGGGGGCGTCTCACGTGGACCAGGAGGAACCTGACCCAGAGGCCACATCTCCTCCTGCCCTCCCTGTCCTCAGCGGGGCAACGTGGCTGATTCTGGGCTGTCCCCGAGGCCTTGGAACATTCCCAGGGGTGGGAATGGGGAAACCTCTCAACTCCCGAATCCATATTTCCCCCAAACTTGGGGCCTCCTGAAGGTGACGCCAACCTAGGCGAGAAGTGGTTCCCCAGTTCTGGCCCCACAAGCCCGGAGTGGGTGTGCAGCGTGACCGGGAGGGCTGTGGCAGGGGAAGGGCATGTCTCTACTCTTCCCCGTTGCCTCCCCGCCCACCCCAGAAACAGCTGCCTGAGGCCAAGGGCATCCTGGGTGCCCAGGGGCAGGGGCCTCCGCGGGGTCAGGATCACCACAGGCCTGGGGGCCACAGAGGCTTTTGGGGAGGGCATGCAAGACCTGGGCCCTTCCCCTCCCCCGCCCCCTGTAGAAACACCACCAAGTACTTCTCGCTGGCCTCCCAGAGCTCCCCACGCCTGCCTGTCGTGTAGGCCAAGAGACGTGAACCTACGCATGTGCATGCACACATGTACGCACGCACATGCAGTTACACACACACATGCACACGACACCCACAGCCCGTTCTCTCCCTGCTGTCTTCTCCTGAATCACACCCACTGGCCTGTCTGCCACCAGGGCCTGGGCATGGCCGCCCTCCAGCCCTGTGGCCCCTACACTCCCTGTGATGCTGGGTGGGTCTGGGGGCACCCAGGGGCGAGAGGACAGGAAGCCTGCCCTCCTCCGCACGGACCATGGGACAGACGTCCAAGCTACAGCCTCAGCCTGGTGGTGGCAGCTGTGTCTCGGGCCAGCCCTGGCCGCCTAGCAGGCGACTCAGAGCGTGGTCTGACAGGACACTGGGGCATATTGAGAGGGGACCGAGCCCCTGCAGGGACAGTCCCAGCCTCTCTCGACCCGGGAACCCGGAGGGCACCGAGGGCTCCTCAGGCTCCGTGCCCCATGGCTGTGGCGGCATCTGTCCTTGGGGGGAGGAGAAGCTGCCCAGGCAGGTGTCCCGTCACACAGGTGACAGCGCCCTGGCCCTGAGGCCACATCCAGAGGCCCCTGGGGCGGCCCAAAGCCTGCAGCCCTGCCCACCCACTCCCGGTCCCCCAGCGGCGGTGACTCACGGACAGCCAAATATAGCTGCGCAGTGGGAGCCGGCAGGGAAAGACGGGGATGAGCTCACTGTTCCTCAATCCAGCAGGAAGGAAGAGGCCCCAAGGCCCGCACATCAGACCCTGCACACACACATGCGTGGACGCACAGACACACATACACGTACGCACCCCAGAAACCCCACGTGCTCGTGTGGACACACGCTCATGCCAGTCGGCTGTGATGAGGACCCCGGGAAGGCCGGCAGAGGAAGGCTCCTTGGGTCCTCCCCTTCCCCTTGCCCCTCCAACTGGGCCCCCCGGGTTGCCCCCTGTGGATGAGAGGGCCCGGGGGGCAGCCCCAACCTTGTGGGACCCGAGACACTAATGGTGGGGAGGCTGTGCTGGCGAGGCTGGAAGGGAGGGGGCCTGGGAGGCAGGGGCTGCAGAAGCCTCGGATCCCCCCCAACCCCTGTCTGCCCCCCAGTCATGCAGGGGAGCGTCCCCAGCTCAGGCACTTACAGATCAAAGACCAGGTAGTGGAACCCTTCCTCAGAGATGCTGTCATGCAGCCGCACTGTGGGGACAGAAGAGGCTGTGAGGGGCTGGCCCAGCCCGGGACCCGCCCTCACTGCAGAGCCCTCCTCCCTCATGGAGGGGGCCCACCCATCCCGACAAGGGCCTGGGGCTCCCCGCAGCGGGGGGGGGGGGGGCTGCAGGGCAGAGCCCAAGGGGAGAGCCATGGGTCCCAGGCGGACAGCCACGGGGCCCTAGGTGTCCGTTGTCTCCTTTCGTCTGCCCGAGGGAGACCCAGGCCAGGGCACAGAGGGTCACAGGTTGGGTGGGGCCACAGGGTGGAGGCTCGCTGGACCAGGCCCTGGAAAGGAGTCGCTCACACGACCGTGACACAAGCCGAGGGCCCGGTAGCCCGCCTCTCAGGGCAAGCGAAGGGAGCCTAGTGAGGCACCACTTCCAGAAGCTCAGGCCCTGGGTTCAGGTTCCAGGGGCTCCCCCAGCCTGTGTGGTCCGCTCTGTGTGTCCCTGAGCCTGGAGCAGTGCCCGGCCCGAGGGCGCTGGCTAGCCTGTGACGGGCGAGCGAGTGGAGAACCAAGTAAGTGGCTCTCAGCACAAAACACCACCACCGCTCCGTGGAGCTGGAGATGCCCCCCGGTGCTAAACAGCAAGTATTTCTAGGAACGTGCATTCTGGACGCTGCCCCTCCCGTGCCAGGTTCTGCTTCCTGCAGGCACTGCTCAGAGCACTCCCACCACCCGAGAGGCCACGCCCACTGTGGAGAGGTGCATGGCTCCCCAAGGGCCAGGCAGCAAGCGGAGCAGGGCTCAGAACCCCCAGGGCCTGTGGCTCCTTGGGCCTCTCCCGGCAGGGAGGTAGGAAGGCCCCAACCTCGCGCCCTCGACGCTGCCTAGTTTCGAACCGCCTGCAGGCCTCCTTCTTCCTCTGGCTGTAACCCTCCCGGGGGCCCGGCTGGCAGTGTCTACACACCAGGAAGCCCAGTCTGGCTGCAGCGGTCGCAGACATGGGCCAAAGCCTGGCACCGAGGCCGGGCTCCTGCCCGAGCAGTCAGGGCGTCCGGTCGCCGACTCTGGGGGCCAGCTCCTCTAGCCTGCTGCCCTCCCGTTTCTTGCTCTGTGCCTCTGCTCAAGGGCCCGGCATCCAGCCTTCTCCCCTCCGCCCTCAGCGCCCCCCCCCAACCCCGCGGCCACATGCTCACGAAGCGAGGTCTTCCCGGGCCCCGGGCCTCCACCAGCTGCCTGGGCTCAGTCACCTCTCCCGGGGACGTCCCGGAGGCCTCCGGGCGCGCAGAGCCGATGATGACCTGCCTCTCCCCAACACCCAGCAGAACCCTGCTCACTGCAACCTCCTTCCGGGACCCTCCGTGAAATCAGCGCAGTGAACAAAAGCTCACCCCCTCCAGGTGCGGCCTCCTCTGCCCCAGCCGCCTCCCCTGGAGCTCCAAGCAAGAAAGGCCTGGGGGCCCCTGAGGGACATTCCTGGGGGCCTTACTCTCCTTCCCTGGGGAGTCCCAGGGGTTCATGAAGCTGGGGTGCTGCAGGGGGCCCCTCCTCCCCAGTGCTGGTGGGAGGGGGCCAGGCTCCTAGGTCCTGCTGGCGGGTCCTACCTCCTCACCCGGGAGACACAGGGGGTCTAGGAGGGAGTGGAGGCTGCGCGCGTGTGGACTTTTTTTTTTAAACATTTTTAACATTTAAAAAATAGATGCACGTTATTTTAATGGTTTAGAAGGAAACCTATCTAGCATACCAGACCGTGATTTTTTTTTTTTTTAAGATTTTATTTATTTATTTATTTGAGAGAGAGAATGAGAAAGAGAGAGAGCAGGAGAGGGGGGAGGGTCAGAGGGAGAAGCAGGCTCCCCGCTGAGCAGGGAGCCCGATGTGGGACTCGATCCCGGGACTCCAGGATCATGACCTGAGCCGAAGGCAGTCGCTTAAACAACTGAGCCACCCAGGCGCCCCAGACCGTGATTTCTAACAGAGCCTAGGGAGAAAGCAACTTGTCACAGAACCTACTTAAATAAAGCAGGAAGTACGTAACGCTGAGCAGGATACGTAGTGACGACAGCCTGCCCCGCCTGCACCCGAGAGCCCAGCCTGGAAGCCCCGCGAGGCCGCCACACAGAGGGCACAGGGGTGCACCCAGGATGCTCCCCTCGCCAGGGCCACAGCTCTTCCAGGGGCTGTACCTGAGTCCCAAGCCAGGGGGCTCTCAAGGGGGCCCCTCCACCCTCCCAGGCAGCCTCCGGACCCCCTTCCTGGACCCCCGTGCTGGCTGTGGTGGCAAGGCCTGGCCCGGATGCATAACAACCAGAGACCTTTCTCCTCTCCCCGACTTGCACTGGCCTCCACCGTCCAGGCAGGAAGTCCCCCCAGGGCATGTCCTCCATGGTGCCCACCTACCAAGCTCAGGGGTGAAGGAGGTCAGTTCCAGCCCCAGAAACCAGAAGGTGGAGATTTGCCCTCCCTGAGCCAGGCCCTGAGTAGAGGGTCAGTATGCAGAGGGAAGGCTGAGTGCAGGTTGTGGGGAGGCCGGTGGGAGGCTGGGGGAGGCTAGGGGGAGGCTGGAGGGAGGCTGGGGGGAGGCTGGGGGACACTGGGTGAGGCCCATCCCAGACACCCAGGCCTACTCCCCACAGAAGGCATCGCCAAAGCCAGGCCACACGGCTGCCTCCTCTGCCCTGCCCAGGGACCCCCTTGTCTCTGAAGAGAAACTGTACCAGCTGGGGAGGGCTCTGCCTGGGCAGCTGCTGATGGGAAGCCGGCTCTGTGCACCTCATTCCCAGCATGACAGCTCAGCAGAGGCCCCACATGCTCATCGTGGGGGGCGAAATGCACCCCATGCTCTGATGCTCCTCCTTCAGGAGGAGAGCTTAGGTCCCTCAGCCTCGTGTGTGGCCGGCCTTCAAGAAGAGAATCAGCAGGGTGATGGCACGGCCCCTCCTAAACTAGGCCTAGGAAGCATGGTGGTTCCTGCAAAAGTGAAACACAGACCAGCCCGTGGGCCAGCCACGCCACCGCTGGGTGTGTGGTCAGAGATGTGAAAGCCGGATCCACACAAATACTCGCACACCCGCGTCCGCCCGCGTCCACAGCAGCAGTCTGCAGCAGCCGACAGGCGGCAAGAAGCCAAGGGTCCGCTGTCAGGTGAACGGAGAAGCAAACTGTGGTCTGGCCACAGGGCGGAATATTACGTAGCCTTAAAAAGCAAGGAAATCCTGCAACTCGCTTCAATACGGACGGTGAGGATGTCATGCCAAGCGAAACGAGGGTCACAAAGGGACCAATGTGTGATCCCGCTGCCGTGCGGTCCCTAGTGGGGACCAATCCACGGACACAGTGCATGGTGGTTCCTGGGCCTGGGGGGCCCGACGGGAGGTAGCGTTTCCCGGGTGCAGACTTTCCACCCAGGATGACGTAAACTGTGGGTACAGACAGTGGCAACGATCACAAATGTTGTGAATATACATGATGCCGCTGAACTATATGCTTAAAGACGGTTAAAATTATAAATACTATGGGCATTTTACTACATTTTGGGAGGAAAAAGCAGCTTCGTGCCCCTCATTCTCCCGCCCTACCTGTCTGTCTGTCTCCCTCTGAGTCCCTGTCATTATGCACTCCGGGGACCCACTGCCACGTGCTGAAGATGCTCAAGTGGCCCCGATGAGACACCCAGTAGGGAGGGACTCTGGCCTCCCACTGACAGCCGCCTGAGCAAGCCTTCGAAGCAAACGCTAAAGATGCAGCAAACATTTGGAAGACGCAGCTCAGGCCAGTGTCCACACCACACAGGAGCCCTGGCGGAGCTGCCCAGGCCCGGGCCCGGGACGTCTGTTCTGCTGTCTGGAGTCCCGCATTTTCATTTTGCACGGATCCCGCAGGTTATGTAGCAGCCCTGACCACCCAGCCCCACGGCTCTTGAGTCCACAGAGAAAATCAGTGCCTGTGGGTTGAGTTTTGCTGCTGGTTATGCAGCGCGGGCGACTCACGCGAGTTAAGAGCCCCAGCAGTGTGTGGCCTGTGCGGCCCCACTCGACACACACAGACCCTGTGGGGGCTCAGAGCCATGGCAGCTCGCCAGCAGTAAGGCTGGGCCCCCGGCCACGACCCTGACTCTGAGCCTCCCCAAGTCACCTCCACAGGGAGGGCTCAGTGCTGTGCCCTCCACCTGACTCCTCTCAGTTCCTCCCGGGCACTCCCTGTGAGTGCCCATCTCCACTTTACAGATGGAGAAACTGAGGCTCCTTCCCTCCCCATGCCCCAAACACAGCTGCTCTGAAGAAGCGGCACAGGATGGGGAGCCCCTCCCAGAGCCCCCACCCTGCACCTGGCTGAACAAGGTCCCACTGCCTCTCCCACGGGCACCGGGGGCACTTCTGTCCATAGTGGGGCTGGGCAGACCCAGGCCCGGGAGCAAGGGGACCCCTCACCTCCCCCTAGACATCTGTCCCACTACTCCCCAGAGAGCCCCTCCTGAGTCTACAGAGAATGTTCCCTCTGCACCCGAGTCTAGCCCTGCCTCCCCATGTTCTGGAATGTCCTCTCTGTACCACCCTGTGTCAGCTCTGCCTCCCCATGTTCTGGAAGGTTTCTTCTGCATTCCCCTGTCAGCTTGCCTTCTCCTTGTTCTAGAATGTTCTTTCTCCACGCCAGTCTCAGCTCTGCTTCCCGTGTTCTGGAATGTTCCGTCTGCACCCCCGTCTCAGCCCTGCCTCCTCCTTGTTCTGGAATGTTCCCTCTGTACCCCCCAGGCTGAGCTCTGCCTCCCCCATGTTCTGGAATGTTCCCTCTAAATGCCCCAGTCTCAGCCCTGCCTCCCCCATGTTCTGGAATGTTCCCTCTGCACCCCCAGTCTCAGCTCTGGCTCCCCCGTGTTCTGGAATGTTCCCTCTGTACCCCCCAGGCTGAGCTCTGCCTCCCCCATGTTCTGGAATGTTCCCTCTGTACCACTCCATGTAAGCTCTGCCTCCTCCTTGTCCTGGAATGTTCCTTCTGCAACCCAGTCTCAGCCCTGCCTCCCCGTGTTCTGGAATGTTCCCTCTGCACCCTGCAGTCTCACTCTGTCTCCCCATGTTCTGGAATGTTCCCTCTACACCCCAGTCTCAGCTCTGCCTCCCCGTGTTCTGGAATGTTCCCTCTACACCCCAGTCTCAGCTCTGCCTCCCCGTGTTCTGGAATGTTCCCTCTACACCCCAGTCTCAGCTCTGCCTCCCCGTGTTCTGGAATGTTCCCTCTACACCCCAGTCTCAGCTCTGCCTCCCCATGTTCTGGAATGTTCCCTCTACACCCCAGTCTCAGCTCTGCCTCCCCGTGTTCTGGAATGTTCCCTCTGCACCCCTGTCTCAGCTCTGCCTCCCCGTGTTCTGGAATGAAGCTGCTATGAGGACTTCAGGGACTGATCATAACTGACCAGGAACAACACTGGGCATCCAGGCAGGGCAAGATGTCTTTTGAAAAACTGTCACAAAACACTAACCCAGAGAACACCTGGGTCCTCCCCTATTAAAAGGGAATTCCTGACCCACTCTCGGCTGGTGCTCAGATGATGCAGGGGAGGGGGCTGGCAAGGGCAGAGGGGTGGGCAGAGTTGGCGGGGTGGTGGTGAGGGTGAGCAGGTGACTGGTGTCCGGGGCGGTGGAAGGTCGGACTGAAATCCACCATGTGCCCCCCCCCACCCCGCCAGTGAAGAGTGGCTGGGGCCCCTGCGGATGCCGACATCAGAACCACCAGGCACACTGGTGAAGCTCCAATTCCTGGGCCCATGCCAGGCCTCTGAGTCAGGACCCTGCATGCCAGTGGGTCCAACACACGCAGCTTGAAAAGCTAGAAGTAAAAGGGCCTGGCCCGTGCCCAGGGCTGAAGCTTCCTGTGGGCACGGGGCGGGGGGATGCCCAGGAAGTGGGGGGGTTTGCCTTTGCCACCCCTCCCACAGCTCCCAGGGCCGGCTCTAAGGACCGGCTGAGGCTTCCTGCAGCCTCCTGGGGCTCCCCGCGGCTGAGGCCCTGGCCTGGAGCTGGGAGTGGCATGCACCCCCCAAGGCCAGGGGCTCCAGAAGTGGCGGAGCCACCCGGCCTGCCATTCCTATTAAACAGAGTCCTGGGCCCTGTCCTGGCACAACTGAGCAGGAACCGTGGAAGGAGGGGCCCAGACTCCACCCTGACAAGCTCCCTGGCTGCCCCCTGAGGCAGCAAACCCAATGGCCCCGTCGGTGCCTCCCGGCTGCTTCCCACAGGGGGCTCCTCAGTAGTCCCTACAGGGCCAGTGGTGGAGGAGGGCAGGCAGGAGGACACACACCTGCTCCCCAGGGTAGCCGGCAGGGACCACCCCAGAGCCGCCGGGGTGAGGGGCAGGCATGTGGATGAGTGGAGGTCAAGCGGCCCGGGAGGCCCAGCTGACTTCCAGGGTCCTGTGGGTGCACAAGGAGGATCTGGGCTTTCACAAAAAGGGCAACCGTCCTTGAGGCCAAGGCCCCAGGCTCCTGGGGCTCTGCGGCCCCTGCCGGGACCACCGCCCCAGACCGCAGTGGCAAGGACCAGCAGGGGACAGTGGTGGTTCTCCAGAACCAGACCTCAGACCTCAGGCCAGGACGGCGCTTGGCACGGCCTTTGAGGTTTTCTGTTTCCAACCATTTTTCATCTTAATTGGGCTGTCTTGTGGCTTTTCTGAAGCCACAGAATGTTTCTGCCAGGATCACAGCTGGGAGTTAGAGCGATGGGCGGGAACCCATCCAGGCAGAGCTGCCCCAGGGAGCTGCCCGGAGCCCCCAGGGTCCCCGCCGGTCAGGAGGGAGAGCCGTTGCCAAGCGCCTGAGGGTGGGGACACTTCTACGGAGAAGGGAAAGGAGGCCTCTGGGTGACCCTCTGCAAGCGTGATGTTTGGGAGAGAAAGCCTCTGGCCATGGGGCAGAGAGACTGGGGCCCCGCGCCCGCCTCCGGGAGGGCTGCTCACCAATGTTGGAATGCTTCAGAAGACGGCAGATCCGAGCCTCTCTCTCCAGCTTCTGGTGATCTGCGGACAGAGAGCAACACGGTGTGACCTCATGCCCCAGCAGCCGTGACCCCCCGGGCCCAGCACCGAGACCAGTGGGTGCCAGACACACTCACGGCCCGGGAGGTGCCCACCGCCTCCCTCCGCGCGTGCCCGCCAACTGCCCAGGTCCCCTGGCCGGCAGCGCCAGGGCGGGAAGAGGCTGCCTGGTGTTGTGGCGAGAGGCCCGCGGAGGCAGAGGCGGGGAGCCCCAAGGTGGTTCGGGAGGACAAAGTGCTGTACATTTCTCGGCAGAGCTGACAGCCCCGATTTGTCCTTCACTTATGTGTCCTAATTCCAGACTCGTCGGAGCCTCCTGCTGAAGTCGAGCGTGTTCATCGGTGGCCATGGGGCTGGAGGAGGTCCTGGGGGCCCTCCCGGCCCTCCTCCCTGCCCCTCGAGGCCAGTACTTCTGTTCCAGAGGCTGGGCCTCTAAGGACTGAGCCATTTATCAGAAATGTTCTATTCCACACAATCAGGATACCAAGAGGATTTTAAAATTTGATGGGGACTTTAAGAGCAAAATACTGAAAAAATCCACCTTTCCATTGACTAGAGAACACAGAATTAAAATGTTTACAGCTGCACAACAGAATCACCCATCGGCAACGCGGGCACACCACCCCAACTCCCCAACACAGGCTGAGCCAACGAGCCACTTACAAAGGAAGACCCAAAATGTGCTTTCTTTCACAGAGGTCAACACACGCAGGTCGCTGGGCACACAGGTGTGGCCAGACCGTCAAGAGAGGCAGGGGTGTCTCAAGGTCAGGATGGCAGCTGCCCCAGGGTGGGACACGCCCAGGGAGGGGGCGCCAGGGGTCCTGAGCCCCCACCCACCCCTGCACGTGCTGAGCCCCTCAGAGCAAGGGTCTGGGGAGCACGTTACTGTACCAGCAGGTGGGTGCTATCTGTCTGCCGATCCCTGGTAAATCAGGAAGGCTTTGCGGTGTGCAGCGAACGTGCTAAACTCTGCAGGCCTCCCCAGACCTGCTGGTCCCTGGTCCCCGCCTGGGCTTGAGGGGAACAGACCCAGGCACCAGAAGGTCCTTCTGCAGGAAGGGAGCCCGCTGCCTCATCTGTGGTCAGCTCTCCCCGGACCGTGTGACAGTGCTGGGCTGGGACAGACTTGCAAACACGCACGTGCCTTTCCTGAGCAGGAACGTCACGCCTTACACACACTTACCTTTTCTGAGCGTCTGAGAGAAATCCCACACTCCACGTGCTCCTACCAGGTGATCGCCCATGAACATGTCCTAAGAACGAGGACGCTCTCTGGCCTGATCTCAGTGCCGTAAGTCGAACGCGATACAGAACGTGAACCTAACCTGCAGTCTGTATTCCGATTTTGCCAACCGTCCCAGGACCGTCAGAGCTGATTCCCCCCATGTGTGCACGACAACCAAGAAGCACTTCCACGTGTGGACCGGGACGGAGCGAAGCTCAGGCAGGGAGAGCTCAGGGGGGTGGGGAGGTGGGAGCCGGGGTCGTTTTCATACATAAAAATCAGGAGAAAAATGCACATGGGAACCCCCTTTTGGGAAGTAAGCAATACAGAAAAGACTGTATGTTATTCCTGAAAGCTGTCCCCAAGGGCACAGCCCCATCCCAAAGACTGACCGACTGTCGAGCGCACTGGGTGAGAGAAATCACTTGTGTGGCGCCAAGAAGGGGAGCCTGGCTGCTGGGCCACATGCTGGCACCCACCCATAGCCCCAGCAGGTCACTGACGCTCCGGGCCATACCCCTCGCTGTGAGGCCGGCCGCACGGGGCGGGAAGAGGCTGTGATGCGAAGTCACAACACGCACGCACCGCAAAGAGCCGCATCCAGACCGTGACCACACTTCCCCCTAAGAAGCAGAATGATGGAAAGAAAAAGAAGAAGCTAGCAGGAGGGGAAGAATGAAGGGGAGTAAGTTGGAGGGGGAGACGAACCATGAGAGACGATGGACTCTGAAAAACAAACTGAGGGTTCTAGAGGAGAGGGGGGTGGGGGGATGGGTTAGCCTGGTGATGGGTATTAAAGAGGGCACGTTCTGCATGGAGCACTGGGTGTTATGCACAAACAATGAACCATGGAACACTGCATCAAAAACTAATGATGTAATGTATGGTGGTTAACATAACAATAAAAAATTTTAAAAAAAGAAGCAGAATGATGGGATTATTAAACAATAAATTACTTTATTCTTTGTATTTCCCCCAACTCTGACAACAATCTTGTGTTCCTTTTATAATGAGAGAAAATATTGTTTTTTTAAAAGAGGGTTTGATCGGTCTCAATGAGCAAAAGCCATGGATTAATGAAGGCACGTTCCCAAAACCTGCCACGGTGACATCTTCCTGGAAATTAATCGTCTAAGCCGATACTCCCCGACCCAGATGGGAAAGGGAGGCTGTCCCCCTTCTCACGAAGCCGGCTCCCTCACCCTGCCCACAGCCTTTGATTCCTTCCTGCAAGGAATCATGACTTAACTTCCAAACGACACCATGAACCCCGCTGTGGTCATGGTGAAGTGAGTCAAATTTAACCCAGTCTGGTCCACAAGAAGCATGTCCCAGCCCTAAATTGTCAGCTGGATCAGGAAGGACACCTGCAGCCCACCCGGTTCCCCAGCAGGCAGCAGGGTGTGGGATGGGCCAGCGGTCCTGATGAACCCCGGGACCTCGCTGCCCCTGCTCATCCCTGTACCCGCCTCCCTCCTGGGGCTCCGGCCGCCCACAGGGACTACAAGGACTTCAGACACCACAGCAGTGATCACTGAGCAGGCCTGGGGGGGGGTGACACCACAGCAGTGATCACTGAGCAGGCCTGGGGGGGTGACACCACAGCAGTGATCACTGAGCAGGCCTGGGGGGGGGGTGACACCACAGCAGTGATCACTGAGCAGGCCTGGGGGGGGTGCAGCTGGGACACCACCCGCCCTGCCCAGGGCCCGCCAGCACCCCAGGGGCCCCAGCCCAGCACCCCTCCTGACCATGTCCACTGTAATGATGTCTGGGCTGGGCGGGCAGCAGGCTACCCCAGGAGGGTTCACCAGGCACCTGCTAGGGCTGTGGGGGCTGCACGGTCCAAGGGAGCAGGCCAGCCTTGAGACCAGCCATGAGGCTCAAAAGGGCCCTCCCAGGGCTGTGGCCAGGTGTCCTGAGTGTCTGGGGCACCTGGAGCTGCCCTGCGGCCCAGCACCTGCTGCTTGCGGCCCCGCTCCCACAGGTCAGTGTGTTGTTAGGGAACGCTGGTACCTGTCACAGGGCACACACAGCACCTGTGCTAAGGACACGAGAACCCCAGGAGTCTGCCCTACTGACACCCCATGTGTCTTGCCCCCAGAGGGTGGTCTCCATTCCCCAGTCTTCCTTGTCAGACCCAGCCTGCATCACCCCCCACGTGCACTAGCCGCAGGGACTGCACCTCTGAGGTCGTCGTCCACGGACAGGGTGGGGACAGAAGTGGGGGGCCCAGGGAGTGAGGGCAAACTTGCTCCCCCAACTTCTGGGAACCCCACCTCAGAGAGGGGAGGCCCCTCTGCCTTCTTCCATCCTGAAGACCCGAGCAAGGTCAGCACTGACTGTGTCCGGGGACCCAGGGGACGCACGCAGGTCCCGGGTCACACGGAGCAGGTGCAGCTGTGCTGTGAGCCCTGGGGACAGGAGACTCGGCAGAGCCCTGCACACCCCCCACCGGGACAGCACTTCCCAGACCCCAGGAGCCACCCGCGAGCAGGAGGAGGCAGGGGCTGCTCAGGGCTGTCATTGGCATGCCAGGAGGGGGATGGGGAGGGGCCCCCAAGGGGCAAGAAGGGACAGGCACCTGCCACGCATGTCCACATGTGGGTGCCATCTGTTCCACGTACACAGCAGGCCTTACCCACCTCACTCCAATAATGCCCCAAGAAATGGCAGCAGGAGACCGAAGCCAGCTCCACACAGCAAGTGCCCCAGGCAGGGCCCCCCAGACAGGGTCTCCCCCAGGCAGGGCCCCCCCAGGCAGGGTCTCCCCAGGCAGGGCCCCCCCAGGCAAGGTCTCCCCCAGGCAGGGTCTTCCCCAGGCAGGGTCTCCCTAGGCAGGGCCCCCCCAGGCAAGGTCTCCCCCAGGCAGGGTCTTCCCCAGGCAGGGTCTCCCTAGGCAGGGCCCCCCCAGGCAGGGTCTCCCCCAGGCAGGGCCCCCCCCAGGCAGGGTCTTCCCCAGGCAGGGTCTCCCCCAGGTAGAGGCCCCCAGGCACGGTCTCCCCAAGTGGGGTCTCCCCAGGCAGGGCCCCCTCGGGTGGGTCACCCCAAGTGGAGTCAGGAAGCCGAGGGAGGTGGGAGGCTGTACCCACCAGTGGGAGAGGATGCCTGTGGCTGGCAGTCCCAGCCACGGAAGCAGGTGCACAGAGACACTCAGTCCCCAAGGCCAGGACGCGCCCCCAGGCTGCAGACCCCTCAAGGCCCCGCAGGGATGCGGCCCTCCCAGCCCTGACACCCGTGCTGCCGGCCCCGCCCGCTCCCCGGCTATGGGTGACTCAGAATAGAGATGGGGCGGGGGGTGCCAGGAGGGAGTGGGTGGGCGCCTGGCCCCTCACCAGCTGCCAGGAGCCGCAGCCGAGCTGTCAGGGGCAGAAGGGCGCCGGCGAGGCACTGGTGCAGGCGGAGGAGGGACGGGAGCGGGGACAGGCCCGCCTGGCAGGAAGAGCTGCTGCCCCACCCTGCGCCCTCCGCCCCCTGCCCTGAGGCTCGGCCTGGGACACGCGAGGCCACCTCTTGGGAAAAACCAGCAGTCGTGCTGGATGGAACATGAAGCCCTGCACGGAGAGTACACACAGCCCGGCAGGCGGCGGGGGTTGAGAGGGCAGCCGCTGGACCCCCAAGGACCCCTGGGATGAGACAGGCAGGCTGTGCTCACTGGGGAGCCCCGCCGGCACCCGGGGCTCCATCGGCTCCCCACCCTGTCCGCAGGATGACCCAGGGACGCAGGCATGGCAGAGGGCTCGGGCCGGGGGGC